GCAGTAGTCTACCGGCAACCAGACGGCCCACACTTTGGTCAGGAGAGCATAGCAAAGATATATTAAAGGACCAGCTTTCTTTAAATTCTCGTTTTCCCGAGGTTGCTAGCTCTTGTACTATTATATTTTCATTAAGGTTAGATCAAGCTTAGATTAAATTTGTCAAAAAAAGTGTCAAAACGTCCGTTATCGTACGATCTTTCTCCGTTGACGGGCCGGAGTAAAAAAGTGATGTGTGAAAAGTGGCGGCGAAAACGCTATGACCAATCAGAGCTCCGTTGAACCATCGAATCAACGGATAACGGACGCATGAAAATCAAGCTTATAAATGATACAGTGAATTTTGATTAAAATTAAAAAAAACTGCTTGATCAATTTTTCTTGATTTTTTTTTGTTTGTGTGTATTTTGTTCGTAAGTGTATTTTGTATTTAAAGTGTACTTACTATGTATGTTATCTTCCTTTCAGCTCTTGGTCTGCTAAAATCATAAACATCTAAAAAAGTTAGATTAACTCACCGGCACGAAAAACGGGCACCTTAAAATTTTCATGTATTTTAAAGTTTAATATATTTTGCAAAATAAAAACACTAAATCACCACAATACACCAAAACACTTTTACTTTTACACTGGACGCGCGTTTCGCTAACCATGTTAGCATCATCAGCAGATGATTATAAACTAAAGTACAATCTACAAGTTGAGCGTTTATATACTCGCCCAGTGGGCACCGAGTGGGCGTGGCAAAATCTAGCCAACCGAGTCAGAGCCAACTGAGCGTAACAGTTAGATTTCCGCCACTAGAGTAATAGGAACAAAGAACTTGAAGGAATTGGACCGTTGTCTCTGTTCATACTATCTTTACATTTATTAATTCTGATGCTTTCATATGCATCTAATTGCCTGTAATTTGAGACTTGTTTAATTAATTTTAAATTATTAAGATCTATACAATGTTCTTTATCAACAATATGTTCGGCAACGCAAGATTTATCCGGTCTACCATATCTTATCTGAGCTAAATGTTCTTTAAATCTAGTTAATATTGATCTTCTAGTTTGCCCAACATATTTCTGATTACAATCTTTACAAGAAATTTCATAAATACCCGACCTTTCCAGTGGAGGTGTTTTATCCTTTGGATTACCTAATAATTGTTGTAATTTATTATTAGCACTATACACAAGTTTATAATGACATTCTTAAAAATTCCTTTTAGACCACGGGTTAACTCTCTATCAAACGGTATCGAAAAATATTTAGACGTATCTTTCTCCACTTGAAAAGTCGAATTTTCAGAAATCAATAACCTATACCTACGTTTTCTAATTAATTTATCAACTAGTGAAGGAAAATATCCATTACACTTAGCTACATTCCTAATATAATCTCTTTCTATTTCATATCTTTCGTTGGAAAGTGGGAAACTAAGTAATCTATGAACTAAGAAATTTATACTAGCCATTTTATGTTCAACACTATGATGTGATTCATTAGGAATATATCTACGTGTGGTCGTATTTTTCCTATAGATATCAAATTCCAGGCAATTATTAGGATTTCTAATAACTAATACATCTAGAAATGGTAATCTGTCGTTGTTCTCAATTTCATGCGTAAATTTAATGGAAGGAAAACGATTATTTAACTTAGAAATAAAATTATCTATGGTGTCTGAATGTGTGTCAAAAACAGCAAAAATATCATCCACATACCTAAACCATACTCTTGGAAAATACTCAAACTGATTCTTAGCCTCCACTTCAAACCTGCTCATGAATAAATTAGCCAAAAAATGGAGACAATGGATTACCCATTGCTGTACCTTCCCGCTGTTCAAAAAAGTTGTTATTAAATTGAAAATAATTTTTGTTTCATACATAACGATGAGCTCAATATATTCATTCACAGTTTTGTTGTCGAGACCATTTGCGTTCAGTAATTCCTTCAAGTAGCCTAAAGTATGTGGAATTGGAACACTTGGGAACAACGAAGATACATCAAAGGAGACCAAAATTTCACCTTCATGCAATGTTATATCTTTAATTTTGTTAATGAATTCCAATATTATTTTTAACTGCGAAAGAAGGTTCATGATCAGGTAAATTTTCGAACTCCCTTGATAACCATTTTTGCCAAATTATAAGTCGGAGGAACCTACAGCCGAAACAATTGGGCGCATAGACTTGTCGGTTTATGAATTTTGGCAAAACATACAATTTTGGTAATGAGGGATTGGATATTTTGCAATTTCCTCTTTAAAAAGAAAGATCAATAAAGGGTGTTACATTCTTTTAGAGTTTTTTAACGTCTGCTACCATCTAGACAAAGGATTCTTTTTCAAATTTATGTAGGGGCCATTATCGATTAAGTTGTTAACCTTATCGTAATAGTCTTTTTTATCTAATATAACAACCTTATTTCCCTTATCAGCTTTTAGGTAGAAACAATCTTTGTTACGCAAACTCTTGACAATATTGTGCTCCTTGTTAGATTTTAATGAGTTACTTGAAACGATATTTTTTGATAACTGATTTCTACAAGCTTCCCTTGTAAATACTTTAGAAGCCTCGGGCAGGTGCTGAATAGCAGTTTCAACACCAACGACGATTTCCTCCAAAGCGCTACCAGAGTTGGGCAATGCAAACTTTAAACCTTTGTTTAATAAACTGAGCTCTTGTTTATCAAACGTCTGCGAAGAAAGATTCTCTACTATGTTTATGTCTCTTTGGAAAACATGTTTGTTTTTAGAGCTTTTTAATTTTTTAAACTTACTATTCAAAATGGACATTTTCTTAACAAATTTTGAATTGATAACCACAAACATATTTCTCTGAAAGAGACACCAACATTCATTGATTTTTTCATTCAATTGATTTCTGAAAATTCGACTTTTCAAGTGGAGAAAGATACGTCTAAATATTTTTCGATACCGTTTGATAGAGAGTTAACCCGTGGTCTAAAAGGAATTTTTAAGAATGTCAATTATAAACTTGTGTATAGTGCTAATAATAAATTACAACAATTATTAGGTAATCCAAAGGATAAAACACCTCCACTGGAAAGGTCGGGTATTTATGAAATTTCTTGTAAAGATTGTAATCAGAAATATGTTGGGCAAACTAGAAGATCAATATTAACTAGATTTAAAGAACATTTAGCTCAGATAAGATATGGTAAGACCGGATAAATCTTGCGTTGCCGAACATATTGTTGATAATAAAGAACATTGTATAGATCTTAATAATTTAAAATTAATTAAACAAGTCTCAAATTACAGGCAATTAGATGCATATGAAAGCATCAGAATTAATAAATGTAAAGATAGTATGAACAGAGACAACGGTCCAATTCCTTCAAGTTCTTTGTTCCTATTACTCTAGTGGCGGAAATCTACCTGTTACGCTCAGTTGGCTCTGACTCGGTTGGCTAGATTTTGCCACGCCCACTCGGTGCCCACTGGGCGAGTATATAAACGCTCAACTTGTAGATTGTACTTTAGTTTATAATCATCTGCTGATGATGCATGGTTAGCGAAACGCGCGTCCAGAGTAAAAGTGTTTTGGTGTATTGTAGTGATTTAGTGTTTTTATTTTGCTGTTTAACAGCAAAGGTTCCAACCCTCAACTGTAATCTTTAATATATTTTGTTCTAGAGGGCCGATTTTTAAAAATTTTTAAGCAGTTTGTAGCTAAATTATTTGGCTCTTTAGTAGCTCTTTCTAAATTAAAAATTAAAGTTTCCATCTGTCAATTAGACCAGGAAAAACAAAATGTTGATGTATTGGTGAAAGTTTGAAACACCCTGTGAAATATGTTAACAAAGCGAGAAATTTAAAAATTATGTTATCATCCAGGTACGTATCTATCAATAGCTTTATTAAGATATTCGCTTTTGAATAAGACAGTAATTTAACCATTGATTTTGGATCCTCATCAACACAATATAAAAGAGTGTTTATTGTTTTTGTAATGTCACTGGCATTGAAAAGTTATATTATTATTGTTTACTCTAATAGAGAGTAGAGAGCTTTGGTAGAGAGGGATTTTAGTTCTGAAGTATTGGCTATTGCTGCTTTAATTGATCATAGTATAGATCAACTTTTGAACCGAAAACCTAATATCTTAGAAGTTAGCTAAGAGTAACAGACGCACAGACAATAAGAGAGTTAACTAAAGCACAGACAATAATAATATGATTTTTCAAAAACAGTGACATTCTATAAATCATAAATACTATTTTATAGCTCTGTTGACTATGACCTAAATTAGTTTGCGCTAGGAGTAAAAGCGAAGATATCGGTTTAATGTAAAAATACGAAAAAATGTTAGTATCTTCTTCAAAAGCGAATATCTTCAAAAAAAGTAAAGCTATTGACATGAACTAAAAAACAATCTATCGAGAAAAGATACACCTAGATAATAAAATGATTTTCAAATTCCTTGCTTTGTTAACGTACTCCACAGGGTGGTTCAAAATTATACCATCATATCTACATTCTACGTTTTGTTTTCCCTCGTATAATTGACAGACGGCAACTTTCATTCTCAATTTAGAAAGAAACTAACTGTTGAGTAACTGTAGTAGTTAAAATATTTTCCTGAAATACATCCTAATACATACTTTAGGTTTGCACTTAAATAAAATTCCTAACTTTCTCATTACAGGAGCTACAGATGCCCGACGCACTATTGCCGGACCCTGTTTTATTACTCAAAATCTCTATTGTATTTCATGGTTGTTACTTATAAAAGGTAGAGGGAATTGACATCAATAATGTCCCAAGATAGTTATGACTATATTTATTGTTTGATTAAACAAGAGGATATTATAATAAGCTTATATTAATTCAGTAAGAAATAAACGCCTTAATGAATTTCCAACTTGAATTTTGACGATTAACCCGAAAAGAGAATAATTATTAAAGACAACGACATGGCACATAAATTAAATTGTCGCCAACACCTTGCAGGTTAAAAAATTATTTATGAACTTCCCAGACAAACTTCCCCATTATTAAACAACAGACCTCAGTGGGTTCCATAACGCCCTGTATCAACGATACTTACATGCAGCTGAGAGACTGTCCGCTGAGGGAGATTAACTTTTGCATTGTGAGTTTGAAAATATCTTAAATAAAATTACTGACGCAAAATTCATACTATAATTACATTTTAGTCCAAACAATTCTTCTTAATATACCGTATGATCGAAAAAAACGGAGCCAAAGACGACTGGGGAATGACAATCGATATTAATTTTGGCGAGTAAGGTCAGTCTCAGGATGCGTTATTTACCAAAAATTGACATAAAAATTAACAGTAATTATAGAAAGATTAAAAAAGGATAGAACTTTCGCAGACAAACCAAAAAATGATCTTTACTCGAATTTGAAACTACTCCGTTTAAAAATAATTTTACTCATTATAAAAATATATTTTTAAGGCCAACTGGTAGTGCCAATAAAAAAATAGAAGTGTACAGGCCAAGTAAATTACGTCTTGGGCTTGACCTCCCTAAAATTATCATCGATTGTTATTCCCCAACCGTCTTTGACGCTGTTTTTTTTTCGATCGTATGGTACATTTATTATTCCTTGATCAATATACAGCAACATTTTTGGTTTCTCAACTTTCTTATTTCTCAAGGTATTTTGTGGTCACGATATTATCTTTAAATTTTTGTATTATTACGAATTACACTGATACAAAAAATAAATAAAAATGAAATGGTAATTTTTAATTACAAGTTTATTGCACACAAATCAAAAATAAATAAATACAAACTTTTTTCAAGACACTCCTTTAAAACCCATTTCTTTAAAACCACCCCCTCAAAAATCATATTTTTTGCCTGGTTTTCCTTTTTTTGAAAATAAAACAGAAGCCATTTAATCAACTCTGGCTAAAACCTTTAAAGTTAATGTAATTATTGTTTTTCTTAATTGATACATATTAATGCTTTAAGTTAAAATTGAAAGTGGATGCTTTAATATTAAATTAAAATATTTAGGTTTTAAACTGGTTCAGCTTCCTCAAAGATAAATGCAAATGAAATTCTAATTTAATTGTTCGCTGTGGTAGACACGTTGAATTTACATGTAACGTCATCTCAAGAGACGTACAAAAACTTTAAGTCGTACTTTCCATATTACCATATCAATTTAAGCTATAGAGAGGCAGTCTTTAAAAAAAGCTTATTTTAAGACTAAAAGCTTTCTTTATAAGAGTTGAAGATGATTTTTCTTTTTTCATATATTCTTTCCCATATTCCGCAAGAAAATACACAGTAATAATCAATCTTCATCGACATATTCATATGCATTAGTCTAAGCTTTATCAATATTAGATATCCTAATGGATTTCTCCAATTTTACGTCAACAATGTTGACGAAGTGTCACCTGGACCTGATGCGAAAATCCCCTAAAATCCATTTTAGGTGCTCAACCATTCAGTTTTAAAGGGCGTCTCATTTTTGAGTTTTTACAGGGTTTCTCGTAGGTATACGAGTAGAGATACAAAGATGCGGTTTTCACATCACTATGCTATCTAAAAGATGCACAAGTTCATTTTCAGTGCAGTTTATTAAGATAACTGGTTAAATAAAATAAGTCTTTTAAACTAGGTTAAAATAATTACGTAGTTTCTTACAGTGCGTCTGTTCGTTCTGTAGCTACGGGGTATCCGTGAGAGGGGAAACGATATTCTCTCGATGTTTTTCGTAAAAAATTAGAGGACGCGTCCCATCAATAAAAATTCGACAAATTTGCAAGTAGCCAATAAAATGAGTGGGCGGAGCGATTTGCGGTGACGTACTCGTCAAGTCGACGTATAAAATATATTGCTGTTTATTTAAACTATAAATAATTAAATTAAAATTATAATAAATGTTTTTTGTCCGCATTCCATTCATAGACACAGATCCAGCAGACGCACTTTACTATGTCGATTTATGTTAAATATTAAATAATGGATCTAAATAATGGAATATTACTACTGGATCTGTGTCTATGAAAGGAGTGCGGACAAAAAACATTTAAATAAACAGCATAACAGCAATATATTTTATTCGTCGACTTGACGAGTACGTCACCGCAAATCGCTCCGGCCACTCATTTTATTGGCTACTTGCAAATTTGTCGAATTTTTATTGATAGGACGCGTCGTCTAATTTTTTACGAAAAAACATCGAGAGAATATCGTTTCCCCTCTCACGGATACCCCGTAGCTACAGAACGGACAGACGTACTGTATACTATATTTTTAAAAAGCTTATAACAAGGCAATTAAAATAAGATGTCCCAAATGGATATACGCTTGAGTCATATTTTAAAAATGACAGATACACCGAAAAATTAGTTACGTCACTGGATCACAGATTAGGTATCCTATAAGTATACAGATAAAAATCTTGTCCCTAATTCGTGGTACGAAAGTTGTTTTTTATGACGATGTGCAAACGAGTCAAATTTCCTGTGCGCAAAAATAAACTCGCGTAAAATAACAATAAACAGCGTAATAGAGAGATATCGCTAAACCGAATAGCGTGCATGGACGTTAATAAGGCCAGGTGTTATTTCCTTTACGTGAGGTGGTATTAACTCTCTACATTTATAGTTATCGGATCGGAAAGAATTCTGATCGCGTCGCGTCCGCTATTTAAACTTAACCTAATTTTTGAATTTAAAACTTTGAAATTGTTTTGTTTACTAGGTATTTTAAAACTAAAGAGCTAAAGTGCTTATTTCAAGTGCTTTATTGTTCAACGTCTGCCAGTGGGTTTAAGGCAACAAGCAACAAATTCTCTTAGAAGGGCTAAGTCGTCATCTGCTGTAAACCTAAGACTCTTTATAGGTTCTTTAGTATTGGAAGAGGTGGAATCCATATTTTGGGCCATATATATTTAATTAAAACTAATCCCAGCTACTTAAATATCAAATTACCTAATAAAACTAAAGCAATAATTCAAAACATTTCAAACATAACCTAAAATAAAAGATCTCGCCGGCCGGCTCCGGTTGTCAAATACCAGCACATGCCCATTTAAGCAATTTTTTAAACGTTATCAGACGTTATCAGAGGTTATTTAGAAAGAGCGCTTGGTATAATTGATCCGCAAATTACGTCAGGCGGTAACGTTATTAGCTGGTGCTGCGTTAAAAATTGACTCGCGCATATCCTAACAAAACTGTTCTTGTATCCTAACCATGAAAAGGTACGCGTACATACTGGATGACGCTATTCGGTTTTCTGATATCTCTCTAATAACTGTGCCGGTCAGGCGCTGTGCACAATTTTAGAGGCCATAAGTGGGCGTGCTATGTGCGCAAACTAGTCACCTAACTAGTGCCCGATTCCGAAAATTGGAAAACAATAAAGAAAAACAAAAAATTATAATCTGTATAATCTGTGACTGGATTGTGCATGAAAAAATCTACGGGAACAGTTGCCACTTTTTCGATTTGTTTTATAACTAAAGACAACCAAGAAATGAAGCGGGTTGAAAAATGCAACTTTTTCAATTTTGTCCTATATTTCAGGAAACTAACAAGAACAAATCTCTGTGTAGCATCTTTAGTTTCATAAAAAAGTAGCATAGTAATGTAGTGTTTACATTTTTGTGTATCTGTTGGAGGCAGATGCCGAATTCGGCCTGTCTGAAATAATTAGACATATATATATTATAATTAAATATACCTACCAATATCCACAAAGTTACGCGGAAGAGTTTTGATTGCATTTGTTTTAACTTCTTTGCGGAGGGTGTTAATCTTTTGTTGTTATATTATACCAAAAAAAGATTAACTCCCTCCGCAAAGAAGTTATATAAAGACTATTTATAACCACGAAGTTGCACGCATCTGGCAAATTTAGTATGGACAAATCGCCAATATGTCTAATTATTTCGGACATAGGCCGAATTCGGCATCTGCCTCCAACTGATAAATGAGAAACCTCATAAAACACACTAAAATGGGACAAATTGTACATTAATTCCCAGGTAACTTGTACCGTATGATCGAAAAAAAATGGCGTCCAGTTGGCTGGGAAATGACGATCGATGACATTTCCCATATAAATTTACATATAAAATGACAGCGATCTTCATTTCATAGCCATCGTTGACGCCGTTTTTTCTCGATCATACGGTATTATCTGTTATTTTTTGGATGGCATCTGTCGAAAACTTCCTTGACTTGTTGAGCAGAGTGTACTAGACTAGATAAAGTTATTTATATGTTAATATAATCAATATTTAGATTTTATACAGAGTAATGTATATGTAGAATTAATAGATGTGTGTATGTGTGTGTAAAATAATTGGAAATGTAACTGCTTCTAAGAAATTGTAGAGGTTTATTTCAAAAATACATTTTTTTACGTCAGTGTGTAATTGGCTTAAAAACTTAAACTTCTTATTCAAAGTTTTACATAATAATAATACAGTTTGAACAAAGAAATGATTTCCACTTAACAAATTATTTCAATAGTTGCTCTTGCGTGTAAAACGCTTATTCTCCGCCGGAGCTGCCACCATCGGGGAATATGCTAAACCACTGGTATATACAAATACACGGTTAAAATTGCCAGTATACAAAAAATATATTATTTATTTATTCTAAGTGTTAGAAAGTATAATTTGTGAGAATTCTAAAAATAAAAATAAAAAAGTAAATATTTTGATTAATATCTTCAAAAGGTCTAACTTGTATTATAATTTATTACTCCAGCTAAAAAAAAAATTCCCATATAAATTTCCATATAAAATAACAGGGATCTTCATATCATAACCATCGCTGACGCCGTTTCTTTTTCTTTCATACGGTATATGTCTATTTGATTTTTTGATTATGTAACGAGCACTTTGTTTACTCACTTGTTTCGTCGAACTGCTTGAATCCATTTTTACCTTTGTTCAAATCGGTGTGAGAAACTATGAAGCTAAATGTTGTTACGAGAGAAAAGTTGGGAAAGTTGAGTTATTGAATGTTATTGCACACAACAACGCCCTAATTGCGCTCTCCTTTACGCGTTAACATTTACCCCAAAGGTAATAAAACTGAATATCTAGCAACAAAATTTCAATAAAAACTGTTTTAATTAACTTATTATT